GAAACTATATTAATTAGAAAAGATCTGAGAGAGCGACAGAAAAAGGAACGAGAGCTTGGGAAATTCGCAATAATATCTTACGATAAGCTAATTGTTCATGAGTGGATTTCGAAGGAAAAGTAATTAATTTTTGTTCTTTATACTTTTTTATCTGAATTTTATGTTTTTACAGTGGAAACTAATTTATTATCTAGGATTAACTCCGATAATAATTTTTTTAAATTAATTATTTTTAAATAATATAACAAAACTTGATAATAATAACATAATTAATCTTGAACCTTTCCTAAAAAACAATTATATATCGTTAGAAAATCAATCAGATATATATATATATATATATATATATATATATATATATATATATATATATATATATATATATATATATATATATATATATATATTTAGTTTTATAATGATGAAGAAGGAATGAAAAATATAGGTAAATAAAAATATATTTTTTAATAATTATAAAGTATTTCATCAAATTAGAGAATCTGAAAAAGCATGTAATAGATTGTTCACAACTTTTTAAATTTTAAGCTGCGCAAAGAATATTCTGTTATGACGCATGATATGGAATTATTATCAATTGAGGTTATAAACAAAACATGCAAAAACCCAATTGTGTACGTCATATTGTGTATATCATAGACCACCTTTTGGTAATAAAACGCGTTTATCAAACAAATTAAAAGCCTTATTACTAACAAAGAAATATGTGGCAAATGCGTTTTCCTTGCGGGCGATCTGAAATTAGATTTGTTAGAATATAACAAAAATAAAGACGTCAGAAAATTTTTAATGTTATATTTCAAAATGGCTTCTCTCCAACAATAAATAAACCAACTAGAATAACAAAAAAAGTGCCTTCTCTATTGACCAATTTGAAGCCGCATACTTACTTAAACCAAATAAAGGTCTCGGAGTTGACGATGTAAGCAGTAATGGAGTAATTAAATCAATGCTATATTCAAAAATCCCGCTTTTGCATATATTTAGTCTCTCTTTAGAACAAGGAATCTTCCCTGATAGACTTAAAGTTGAAAGAGAAATGCCAGTATTAAAATCAGGAGACGAGGCTAATATCTCTAATTACAGACCTATCTCCATACTATCATGCTTTTCAAAATTACTAGAGCACATTATGTATAAAAGATTGTATTACTTTTTAGCTGCAAACAATATTCTTTATAATAAGCTGTTTGGATTTAAAAAGAATCACTCTACTGATCAGGCAATTGTTCATCTTGTTCAAAATATATTTAAATCGTTTAAATTTAATTAATTATACATTAGGTGTATTTATTGATCTCAGTAAGGCTTTCGACACTGTCGATCATTTCATTTTATTAAAAAAATTAGAAAACTACGGTGTAAAAAATATTAATATTTCATGGTTTAGAAGCTATCTGACAAATTGATCGCAAAACATTTCTTACAATGATGGTAAAACAACCGATATGAATATAATGTGTGGGGTCCCTTAAGGTTCTAAATTGTGGCCACTCCTATTTCTCATCCATATCAATGATTTAAGTAAAGCATGCAGTAAACTAGATACATTTTTATTTGCAGGTGATACCAACCTATTCTATGCACATAATGATATAAACATTCTGTTCAAATCTGCAAACAAAGAGTTAATAAATCTTACTGATTGTTTCAGTGCAAATAAATTATCACTAAATATAACCAAGACAAAATATACTTTTTTCCATCGTTTTCATGATCGATATAATATTCCTTTATATCTTCCTAAACTCTGTATTGACAATTAAGACGTAAAAAGAAAAATCACTTTGAAGTTCCTCGGTGTTCTGCTTGATGAAAATGTGACGTGGAGAGATCACATACATTATCAGAACATCGGTCTGATTTGTAGAACAAAACCTTTTTTAAATTTATATTGCTTAAAATTTTTATATTTCTCTTTCATTCTAAATTATGCAAATATTGCTTGGTGCAGTACAAATAAAAATGAAATTAAAAAACTTTTTAACAAACAAAAACATGCAATCAGAATCATATCCAATGTGGGGCGTTTTACACATTCCTAAGCATTGTTTATTAAGCTAAATATAATGGATATCTACCAAATAAACATCTATCATCTTCTTGTATTTATGTTCAAAATTAAAAAAAATTCATCTCTTTAAATATTTAACCCGCTATTCAAAATAAATCAGAACAGATACTTAACCAGATACTCGTATAACAGCTATCATCAGCCCACAAATTATTTTGCGGCTACTAAATTTTCAATTTCTTCTAGAGGACCAAAAGTATGGAATAAAATATTAACTAATGATCTTAAAACAATTGCAATGCCTAATGAGTTTAGGACCAAATTGAAGCAAAGACTGTCGATAAGCAACGTAGCGCATGATATCTTCTGATGCATAAGTAAAGGTGTATACTGGTTTAAAAGGAAAGTTTCAGGATTATAAGTATTAGAGCGCATGCATTTTAAGTATACAATTTTTTGCTATACTATAATATTTGCTTTTACTTTGGTATTTAATTTTGGTCCTTTTGTAATATTAAAATAAGAAAAAAAGTAGATTTTCATAGTTAGAGAGGGGCATTCAAGACCTATGAATTTTATCTTTTTGTTTGTTTGTTGTTTGTTTCTAATAAATATAAAAAGTCTGTATAACAATATTTTATATGCTGTAGTTTTACGATTTTTATATTTTATTATTGTGTATTACGGTACTGATTAAGGGGCTTGGCGATAAGACAAATGTCTTCTTCTTGCCACTGCTACTTGTATTTGCATATGTTTTATGTTATGAATAGATTTATATGGCAAAAAAAAAAAAATTGAGGCTTATCATTTTTTTCGCATCAAAGATAACGCCACTTTGTTGACGTCTGCCAGCTATTTTTCTTCCACGAAATCGTCTGCCAAATAATTTTCCGCGTTTCGTAGCAGCCAAATACTTCACTTATCAATAATTTTTATCCATGAGCATTATCATTTTTTTCTATTTATAATTTGTCATCTTTGACCGTCCTCCCCCGCCTTTATCTTCCTAATCCCGCTGGCAAACTGGCCTCTCAGTGTTCGGGAGCGCTAATGGCACCTCTGTAGATATTCATATTTAATGTACCTTATGCCTTGCTTTTTTTATGTAGCCAGCTCTTAGGCTATAAGAGAGAATTTAATCAACAGCAACTTCGAGAAAATATGGGGCGAAATTAAAATCGGTAACAAAGTTTTTTATTGACTGTGTCTATAGACAACCTTTATTGGATATAACTAATGTAAGTAAAACAGTTATTTTGGCAAAGCAAGTTGCAGATCGAAAAGCGTATACGCTTTTCTATCTATCTATATATAGATGTATGTTACTAGTAGGTGATTTCTACTTTCCGGATATCAATTGGCACTACAACGACAGCTTTAACTTTTATGACTAAAATTTATTATTATGCATTATAATTTTATTGATTGTTACTATTTTAGTTATATATTGTTTTTATTTTGGACGGACATCCAAAAGTTTTTTTTGAAGATGCGTCTGTACGAACAAAAAGTCGAATAAACCTTTGCATCAAGCAATAGTTTAAAATGAGATAAAAGATTTAAAGAAGCAAATGTAGGTAAAACAACATCCAATAAAGAATTTTTAACAGAATCATATACGTCACTCGTAATCGCTAATCTTAGATTAAACTAACCATACTCAATACCCGTCATATCATTTTGTAAAAACGCTAAAATAAATGCAATTCAAAAGCATCTAGGTCAGTGACTATTTTGCAGAGATACCATGACAATTATTTTTTTCATAATGCATCAAGAATATGTTCAACCAAAAGTGTTTAAGAAACTTGCTTGTTTAAGAAACTTGATTGTGCTTTAAAATTGTACCAAGTTAATTCTCATATACAAAGCTGGTTTTGATGGTTCAACAATCAATAAAATCACCAATTAAAATGAACTTCTAATGAATTTTTCTTTAAAACTTGTTTGGTTATTCTTTGACGATCTGTTAAAAAAATGATAAAAAACAAGTTGTTTGGATATATTTAAAACCATTGTCAATTATTAATGCAAAAGAGTAGTTTTTGCAAAATATGAGTCAATTAAGGCTTTTATTAAAGATATAAAATTATCCAATTTAACTATTAACGATACAATAAAAGAAGTTGAATTACATTATATTGTAAATTTAACGATGTGAGATGGAAAAATTCGAATCATCATTTCTACAGCTACCAACTCTTACCTATGCTTTTCAGTGTGTTTCGCACCTCCAATTAAAATAAACAATCTATTAAGTTTTTTAAAGCTGAAGACAAAAAAAAAAATATTATTTTGTCTTTAAAATATATTGAAATCAAAAATACCATATATGCTCTTTCGAGTTGCTCTGTGATGAAAATAACAACAAAAATTTTTTTTTTTGTCTTTAAAATTATATTGATATCAAAAATACCATATATGCTTTTCTGCGTTGCTCTGTGATAAGACTGTAAGGACTTCTTGGAGCACCACAAATAAGTTACTCAGTTCCCGGGTACCCACCTCTTGAACAAATGGTTACTTCCCGGGCAGTTTATAAGCAAATAAACATAACAAAAATGAAATTCGCGAGTTTCGATTTTGAATAACATTGGCTTTGTTAGAGGGTATGAAATAAGAGCTCGTCTTATTTTTGTTCTTAACTATTCGTGTCATTTTTTCTGTTACTTGTATAGGAAATTTATTTTGGTTTAATCTGTGCTGTTTTAAAGAAACACTTTTTTGTTTTTTAAAGCTTAAATAAGTATTAACTTTTTAACTACTAATCAAGTTTTTTTTAAGGATTTAAATTTAGTTTAAATCAAAGGTTATATTAATATATTGGTTTATATAACTTTATATAATGGTTTTAAAGATAAATAATTTATTTTTTATTTATCTGTTTTAAATTAAAGTTTAATTTTTAATTTCTGTTTCTGTTTCTCTATATATTCTATTAAAATACTAAAACGCTTTACAGAAAAGTTCTACATTTTAAAATAACTAATAATCATTACGCAAGTAAACTTCTATCACTTGCTTGCTTAACTTTTGAACTTGTTTTGGCATAAAAATAAAAACAAAAACAAACAATATATGGAAAGAATTGAAATGGAAAGTTTAAATAGGTAAATTAAAATGAATTGTTTTCCACTTTAAATTATTTATGTATTAGCCCAAATGTTTTAAAAATTTAACTTTTAGTTTTAAAAAATATCATCTTTTTACGAATTTAAAATTTTAATTATATGAAAGTTATTGACTACTCAAGTTGGGTATTAGGAGTAATGCACGTTCTTGAGTTACAAACTTATAAGACTTAAAGAAATATAAATCAGTGTTTTATTAAAAGAATTTAAAAAAAAAATTCAAAAATAAGTCAGTTGAATAATTGGAAAAAGTGTGAAAAATAATAGATTAGAAATAAAAAGAGATATAATATAAAAAGAAGTTTAAATATATATTTAGAAATAGTTTAGTTGAATCATTGAAAAAAAGTTTTAAAAATATTAGATTTTCTTAAAGTATTGAAAACTGGGCTTAAAAATTATTTTTCATTTGTTTTAGAAATATGATGATGATATGTCAGCATTTGATGAAATAAACACGCATTTTTTAACTGAAAGTGATCAACATGTTTTATTTTTAAAAAAAGGAGAGTTAAGTTCAATTGTTGCTGATGATGGTGAACAAAACTCATGCCAACCATTTATGTGTGATGATTACAAAAAAGGTTTTTTGGTTTTTTTTTTTTGTTCTTCATAGTTTTCTTAATTTTAAGTTGTTTTTTTTTAAATAAATATTTATGTAATATTTAAGAAAAGCTATTAACTTCAGTATTTGGATGTATTGGCTATATTTATATTATAAATATATAGGGTAATTTATTATAAAATTAAATTGTGTTTATTTAAAATTAAAACATTTTTTGTAATCTTTTTCAGTGCCAAAAAAAAAACTGAAACCAGTAACCTATCTGAAATTTTTTTACAGCAACACACCCCTTAAAATTAACTATGACAAAAGGCAATTACCATGATATTTGATGTGGATCTTTTTATGAGTAACAGCAAAATATTGCTGAAATAAGGAATAATTAAATGCTTTGATTTATTTATTGGGAAACTATTAAACAAAAGAATTAACAACAGTTTTATCGAAAGTATTGCAATTTTAAAATTTAGGTTTTCTCTTTATTTTTTATATAGTATCATGTTTTGTTCCTGATGATTTTGCACCAGATAACACGAAAAAGTTTCAGTTAAGAAAAGAAGGTGCTTAAGATAGTGTATGTTGAAGAATTAGCATTGAGCATGTATAAATGGCACTTATTCTAGATAAATTACACTGAAAAGGAATTCAAATTTTTCAAAAATGTTAATAGTTTTGTGTTGGATGTCTAGACCATATGCTCTAAAGATGTTTAGTTCAGAAATAGCTTTAGCTACAGAAGCTAAATTGATTAAAATATATAACAATGTATATACGTATTTGTCCTGTTTGTCTGGGAAATTGTGGTCATTAGATTTAAAAGATTGAAGAAAAAGTTCATGAAAAAAAAATCTACTGTATCCTTAAGATGCAAGACATAGCATAGGAAATGCAATTTTCAGCAATGAAACATCAGCCTAATGATGATCACAAAGAAAATCACACACACAAAAAATCCCAGTTATCTTTGAGGTAATTGTATAATATATTTTGGTAGAATAAATCCAATGCAGAAAGTTAACTATCAGGGTAAGAGATTGAGAAAAGCAAGAGTTTTTAGTTTTATACTAGTCTCCAGTATTAGTGCAGATTCAGTATAGTAAGTTATCAAAAGTAATGATATTAGCATGTGGGAAACAAGAAAGCTTGGCTTGGCCAAATTTATTAGAAAAAGTATTGTAGTCTTAAAAAGAAGGACAAAAAAAAAAAAAAAAGAGGTGATTGGGTAATAATTGATCTAAAAATGCTATTTATTATATTTTGTATGCTTTAATTCTTGAAATGTGTGCTTTAGTTTTTCAGAAAAAAACAATGATTAATGAAAAAATCGATCGCTGATTAATCCCAAACCCTCAGTCAATGTAGCAACACTCTCTTCATGCTTTACCTAGATAGTCAGTTCATGTTTATATTTAAACTCCAGCAGCTACCTATTAAAGTATAATCCCTATAGTGTGCATCTAACAATGCATTCATATATATATATATATATATATATATATATATATATATATATATATATATATATATATATATATATATATATATATATATATATATATATATATATATATATATATATATATATATATATATGTATATATATATATATATATATATATATAT